CGCACGCACACACACACTCTCACACGCACACACATACTACTGTGATGTATTGTCGCCTGTTTTACATTGAGGCTCCGGTCAGCGCTTCGATTTGTCACAATCAACGAAATGAAAAACAATCAGGCGAGTGGGCGGCAATTGAAGTCAGGATTGAGTGATTGTTTTGTTGCCTCTGTATGACAATTTTGTTTTCCAGACGAACCGCAAATCAGTTGACTATCCAATCGATTCAATGTACAAGTATGGCTGGTGCGAAGCAATTGAGTAGCTGTTTTCGCATCCACATTGTATTATTGCTAAAGCGAGCTAGACAGAGTGCTAGAAGGATTAACAGAGTCAGGAAGAGAGAGAGAGAGAGAGAGAGGAGTCGAAAAAGGTTCGGCTAAATCATACTCACATGATTTACTTTATTTATGGCCCCGGCTCGCTTTCAATTAGGATTCGTAAAACAAAAGCTTGAACCTCGCAGTCAATCAAGTGTAAAATCTTTTAGTATTGCCATAACTCACTAATATTTCAACTGATTTTGAAGTGATTTGTTTGATTTTTGAGTGCCCTCTGCAGGGAAATTCGATTTGATAAATACAAATACCTAATGAGAAGGCTTTCAAGTAATTTTGGGTCAATTGATTTCTTATGCTGATACAATAATACAATGAAAACGATTTTGCATTATATTAACCCCACTTAAATGCTCATATTTATTTCATATAGTATGGTAAATTGAATTGTGACGCATTTAAGATTCTAAATATGGAGTCAAGGGACTCAAAGCTATTTTCAAATGTACATCCTTTTACTAATCCATAATTGAAATGTTTGTTTCTGCATAAGTAGAAAAAATGAAATCAAATTACAATAATATCTAATCTAATCTAATCTACGCCTCCGATTTTATGCTCCGAATTACAGCCCAACGTAGTTATATAAACAAAAATGTTTAAAATGCAAATTTCAAATAAAAAGAAAAACTTTAAAGAAAAAGAAAACTTAGAAATGATTAAAAGCTTATTAAATATATTTTAAAAGTTAAACAAATAAAATAAAAATAAATAAAGGGAATCTCGCTGTCCGCTAAGGGCAAATATCTTAGCCACTCCAGCAAGCTATGCCCCGTCTCCCAGCTGTGTGTAGTCATATATTCAGAAGAAAAGAGAGTGTACGGCTGAATCCAAAAAACGAAAAGATACATAAGAGAAATTCTGCAAAACCAAATAATGGCAGACTGTTTTGGGCTCTCACTGGTATTCAAACAAGAAAAAAGCAAACTGCACATCTGATCTCAATTTCTGAAGAGAGTGTTTTTCTACAGAGGCTTTCCTATGCGTGCTCTCAACTACTGTGCTTTAACAGAGAGCGCAAGAGAGCATAATGATAACATATTGCTTACATAAGTTGTACGGAGACAGCGTCTTCTAACAGTTCACAATTCTGTTCAAACCATAGGGGCGGGGCAAAGCTTAACAAGCTACTTAGTAGCAGAAGTTTTTCCAGAATAGGCTCTGTCATAACAGAATGTAAGGATTAAAGTAGTTGCAGTCCTAAATTCTGTTAGTTGTGGTCTTTTATAAATAATGTGCAATGCTGCAGGTCTATTTGTAAAATAATTAATTAAGAAAAAAAATTCAAACAACGCTACTTAAATCTAAGCTTAAAACTTTCAGTTTTTACATTACTATACTTAAGTCTAAACATCATCACAAAGAAAATTCATAGTAAATAAATAATAAATAAATAAAGGAAAGAGAGAGTTCCGTTGACTGCAAATGGAAATAATTATTATAAATTAAGCTTAAAGCCTGAATAGAACTGCGCTTTGCATAATCAGTTGTACGTCTATTAAGAATAACAAGAACATAATTTCTCTTTGTTCTGAAAGCCTGCATGGAAAGAATAATCGGCACTCCCTTCGTGGAGATAAGCAACTCCAAGAACCGCCCTCCGATCGAATGAGTAATACGTAAATAACTTTTTAGAAAAAACTCTGCCAAACAATAATCTAAGCATTAACTATCCATAGTCGTAGAAAATAAACTAATCATATAAATGAATCAAGCAAGCATTGCTTAGTAATGGTAACTAACTGAACGATCGTTGCTATTGATAGTCACCACACTTAGCCATCCAGACTATGAATAGTTGTTGCAATCGCTAGCAGTAGTTTTGAGTCACTCGCATGAGGTGCCCTAGAAAGAGTGGCAAACAATTTCAATTGTTGTGAACTTTTCGCTTTTTATTGTTCCGTCACATTTGATTCGCAAGGCAAGGGCTTAAGCATAAGTCCCATTTATTGACTTGAGTTGAATTTATGAGCATAACAAAACAATCTTTCATCTAGAGTTGTAGCCAAGTTGCCCATACCCTTGACCTTGCCTTGAAGTGAAAAAACCAACACGCGCACAACTCCTGCATTCCCGCACGCACACAAACACACACTAATACACATGCATGTATGTGTATGAATTAATATATAATACATACATTTGACTTAGGCAAAGTTTGAGTTGGGCTTTTATAAATTAAGCACATGCCCAGGCTGCTTCTACGTCTTCCGCTTCCGCTTTGCCTTTTGCCGTTGATGTTGCCAGTGCCTTTGCCAGTGCCATTGCCGGTGTTGGCTTTGTGTTGTCCTTGCCGGCGTCACTTGCTTCCTTTTTTTTCGCCGGCTGTAGTTTTATGCGCGCTCGTAATGTGCAAATATGTGCCACCAAGCGGCTCCTTCCCACGCTCCACTCCACACAGAGTCTTGAGGCTCAACAATCGTGCTAATGGGCCGTACTCGTCGTCATCCCCATCGTCCTTGTTGTCAACGAAGCCTGCACTGCTGTTGTTGTTCTGCTGTTGTTGTTGTTGTTCTCGTTTTTGTCGTCTGGTATGCCAAAGTTTTTTTTATTTGTTATTATATACTTTGGCGTGTCAAATAAACATCACACATCAACGTACATGAAACATGTTTTATATGCGCTATGAGTGAGTGTGTATGTGTAGAGGTGTGCTCATGTGTGTGTGTGTGTGTGTGTGTGTGTGTGTGTGTGCTATGTGGGACTACGTGCTGTGGTTGCGCAGTTTTTTAAGGTTAGGCATTGCATGTGTAAGGGGGGAGTGTGAGTGTGCGTGCGGCTGCGGCTCATTTGCATGAATTGTCGCATGCTTTTAGGCAAACTTCCCCCAGCAATCCCATTTTTGACAGAGCAGGACGAGATGAGGGTGCAGAAGGAGGAGCATGCTTTTGGGGATATGGAGATGTGAGGCAATGCTGGAGCTGCTCCTGCATGGTGGTTCTCTGTGTGTGTGTGTGTGTGTGTTTTGTATGCGTGCGTCGCCCGTTAATTTTATGCCATTTCATTCGCTCTAACGTGTGATTTATGCTAAATAGCGCCGAATAAATACATTGCCCAAGGTGTCTGGCAGCCTAATGAGTGTCTTTATATGTCGCTCCATTAATAATTCCAAACGCAATCAGTGTTCGTTACTCACCACTCCAGCACACTCGCTTGTCCAACCAGCCGACTGATTGGTTTGTGCAAAAACAAAAAGCGGAAATAGAATAAATATTTGATTGCCATAAAAAGTCGTATAATCGTAATAACTTATTTGTATGTTGTGGTCATCAAATCCGCGTTTGCCTTATAAACAAGGCTGCTACACAAACACACATTTCTCTCAATGATGAATTAATTTGTTTATGCTTACATATCTTGTTCATAAAAAAAACATTATTCGCAACAAACTCAAGTTAGTATATAGCTAAGCAAATATATTGCTACTTGTATATTGTTAGAAAATAGAAATTACTGAACCAAAATAAAGGTCTTTGGTTGCTTTTTATAAATAAAGTGTTGTTAAAAACTATATTTTTCTTTAACCCACTTATGTGAAATTATAAATTAATAACAAAATAAGCTGCTTTAATGAATTTAAACTGAATTTAGAAAAACGAGGGTTTTTCTTGATCTTGTTATTTATAGCTATGCTGTATAGATACATTTTTGTTACTAATTTCCTAAAAATCTATTCAATAGATACAATAGATTCTATTGTATAAAATATTTCACAGATTCACCCGAAAACATTGACTTATATATCTATTAGTTTCCTTAATTGGAAACTAGTAGAGTCGCCAAAGCTTAAGAGTTAAAAGTGAGTTTAAATACTGTAAATATAAAACCCGTATCCTTATGGAGAGGAGCTCAATCAGTTAATTCAATTGCAAGCCATACATCCTTGCTATTTGATCGTCCGAGCAAGCAGCAAAGCCAAATCCACTTGGGGCTTCAGAATTCTGGACATTTTCGCCACTAAGTCAGAGGGTTTTTTAAATATATTGTTTAAGCACTTACGTAGACAGAACAATGGACGACTATATCTTTATACTCGTATATAAAACAGTTTATCCTGACTGACTGACTGACTGCCTGACAGCCCCATTTGCCCTCAATTGTGCTTTCATATAGCTTTCGAGCTACAAAGTGTGGAAAAATGGCTTCAAAGTTAGTTTGAAAAATCTGCTTTAGAATAAAAGAATACAAGAAAACAGCATTTCCGTTTTAAAAATATTTATTTCATATTTAATGCGCTTTTAACATTTCTTCAATATTTTTTTTACAAATGAAATTTGATAGATTTTAAATGAATGCTACTTATTGAACAGAACTAGATGGGCATTCATATATCTCAACATAAATGTGTCCTCATTCATTAAAAAATATTTTTAAAAAGTTAAATCTCGTCTTGTGTATAAGTAGTTTAAAAAGTGCTTATCATATAGCAGCCAATAAAAACTATATTGCTAAGTTAAGCTTAATTAATTGTATTTTATTCATTCTTATTTCATTCATTCGTATTTTAAATATGCAATATTTGTTTTAAAATGTATATTTAAACTAAATGGCAATCTAAAATTGAATAGCATTAATATGCTTTAATGCTCATTTAAATATTTAAATGTAAAATGTGTTCTTCCCTCTATATCTCTCTCTCTTTCTGAAATCCCTTTTCAGCATGCTCCTGGCGCGCAGGCCGCAGCTCCAACAACAACAGCAACAATCCGCCTATGCGCCAACACCACCACAGCTTTTCATCGCACTAATCTCGTGCCTCTATTGGTTTCGCTGCACGGCGCACTGTTGGCAATTCGATGGCGGTGGACCGGGCGCTCTGGGGCCGCGACCCAGTCCAGGCTACGCGACTCTGCCTCCGATGCTGCGCCCACCACGCAACACAGCGCGTGTGTTGGCCCGCGGTCCACCGCCGGGCAATGGTGGAGGTCGTGGATTTGCCGCCCTGCTCGGCTCCCAACAACAAGACGTGCTGTATGCCTGTCCCCTCAACTCGATGTGCCAGTGTGCGGGGCTGCCTAATGAGACAAACACGCTCATCGAGATCAACTGCAATGAGGTGGCGCTCTATAAGTTTCCAGGTAAGTGAGGGGACAAAATATCCAACATATTCCTCTCCTCCCATATATTCGTTCAATTCTAAAAACAGAACTTAAAACTTATTGTAGTTTTTAATAAATGAGAATCTATTACTGCAATCCAATTATCCAAACCAAAATGAAATCATTCGAGCGCTTATAACTTAGTATTGCCTGATTTTCTTCGCTAATTAAATCAAATAAAGTGTCAACAAAATATTTCGTGAAAGCAAAGTTTGTTAAGCTTTTAAACTTATTTCTAATGTGACTTCGCTTGTCGTTGCATTTACAAACTTGTGTAGAGAAATTACTTATTTTTATTCAACGTCTTATGATATGCCTTGAATTTAATTAGATTTTTCATTTCATGCCTTCTCAAAAATAGAGACAATGTTGACTTTGTTTTATTAAACTGAGAAGCTCTTGTATTTATATTTAAATTAGAAAATCAAAATACTAATCAACATGTTAATTAAACTTAAAAAACTAACGATTTTATTTTTATTCGACTGGCACTATTTCTTTTGAAAGACACATGAGAAGCTTTTTTATTTATAGTTAAATTTAAAAGTTCACTTATGAATCAACTATTACGCATATTTATTATGCTTAGTAGAATGTTTACAAATCAAAATAAAATACAATTATTGACGATTAATTGCCTTACTGGCTGACGAACCGCCGTTTGGCGCAGTCTCTAACTGCACTTAGTGGCGAGTCTTAATTTTATGTTATATTATTTTATTTAATAACTCAAAAACAAAGGTGTAGAAAAATAATTTTTTATAATTTCAACATAAAAAATAAGAAAACCAAAAAAAAAAGGGAATTGAATCAGAGACCATAACGAAATGTCAGAAAATCAGGAATATAAACAAATAATTTAATTTAAATATTTTGTAATTATATTTGCTATGTTTGCTTGAAATTTTATTCTTAATTGTGCCTAGGATGGTAATTCGGAATAAAAAGTCAAGTGCTTTCCAGGTATTGCATCCCAGTTTTGAGAGGGATTTGTATTTATTTATTTATTTATTAGATTATTAGGCGTTTATTACGACAAGAAAAGTTCTTATAAATTAATGTTAAGTGGGAAAAAAGTCCTTCTTCACTGAGACGAGCCTATGACTAGTCCCCATTTGTTAAAAGTGTTGCCCGAGGAGGTGTTGGTGCGTCTGATATATTAATTTAAAAGTTGTATAAGTACTTGTTGCGTTGGCGTTTTAGTGAAATGAGACAAGTATGTAAATCAAACAGCTAGTTAATCACTTTGCATTTTACAAACAATTGAACTAATTTGCAGAAATTCGAAAGTGGTTCGCCGAACTAAACTTTTTATTACAATTTCCAGCGTATCTTTTTTATTGATTCGTACGCAGCCAACACCCAGCACAAGACAACAACGAACAAAACTTGTTACTTTATATATTTATGTACCATAAATTGCGTCCGCAACAACAGCAACGACAAGAACAGCAACAACAGCAGCATGACAATACGTTCAACTTGTTTGGAGGATGTTTCCCTGTCACTCCCTCCCCCAAAAGAAAAACTGTTGCAATGTAATTTTTTAATGAAGCTCCAAACGGCTTTGTCCTCTTGGCTCTGACTGCCGGCGCCTTCCAGTATAGTGTCAAAGTCCTGGGCTAGCAGAATGTCGCCTCGTCCTTTGTCCTCACCCCTGTCCTCTTCTGCATCACCACAGAACGCGCACCAAAATTAAATCTTACATTTAAGTTTGCCAATTAGTTGTAAAAATAAAGTTTTTGTGTGTTTGTATGTATGTATTTGGACTGAGGACTCCAGCTCGTTGGTTCTGTTCGCCCCCCTGACCTCCCACCTCTCCCCTGTCGCCTCCTCCTTTGTCACTCCTGTTCGCTCCCCAAAAGTGAGCAAAGTTTTTAACGATTGCTGTGGCACATTCCACGCTAATTTTGTAGTTTTTAAGTAATGAATGGCAAGTTTTGTGCTCCATTGTCATTTCATTCGCATTCGCAATCGCATTGCCATGCCTGTGGTTGCCCTGCCTCTTGTTGTTGTTGTTGTTATTGTTGTTGCTGTTGTGCTGTCGTGCCAAAAATATTGCCAGTACCTTTTGCCGCAAAATAGCAAATGACAAATAAAGTAAACAACGCTGAATGCAGTGGCCAGCAAGGCAGTTCCATTCCTCCTCCTCCTCTGTCCAGCTCTCGCTTCGCTCTCCTTCCTTTGGCAAAGTTACGCCAAAAAGTTGTTGGCTGTCAAATAAAAAAAAGGCAGCCTGGTCAGGCATTGACAGACAGAGACAGAGACAGACACAGAGACGGAGACAGAGTGGGCCTGGGAATTGAAACTGCGGCTGCTATTTCGAGTCTGTCTGGAATATAAACAAGCAGTGAAACATTTAAATTGAAGACCGGTTAGAGATGCGTCGTCCAACGAAATGCCATTCAATACTCGTATATAAACAACATATAAAGATAGCGTTTAAGGGAAATAATAACAAGCTTTACGTTACAATACAATGGCACAGTCTTTCATTCACTTTTTCAATTTATTTACTGCGTTAAGCATTATAGAAATTGAATAAAGATATCGAAAGCGACAAGGAAGAGGGAGCCATAATAAAAAGAAGCTTAAATAGCATTTAACAATAAAAAGCGCTACCTCAACTTTAGGTCTTTCTTTAGCTATAGTTATCTTACAATTTTAATCTTTGAATTCCCTGAATCTTTGAATTTTTTCATCATTTAGGTCTTTCGTTAGCTATAGTTATCTTACATTTTTAATCTTTGCATTTTTTCATCATTACTTGCAATACACACAAGTAAAAAAACACTCTTTTAAACTCAAAAATACGTGAATAGAATGCATTTTAATGCCAACCAGTTCACAAGTTAACACAAGCCATAAATAAATCATTATTATTTTTAAAATAAAAAAGTATATTAATCAACAATTAAATGTTTAAGTTATGATAAACGTGCTATGACTACACATAACTTTTCATTTTCATGCTTTGCTTAAAAAGAACCGTTTTTTAGATAATGAAACTGATAGCGATTTTAGTTCTCCATACCAATTATTTTAAAATATAGTAACTACAGTGCCTTTTTTCATTTCAATTTGAAACATGAAACTCATTTGTGCGTGGGATTGTTTGTTATGTGCATATTTTGTATGAACTTTTTTTAACTAATAACAATATATGTTGGGTGATTTAAAAATGTTTTCCATTTTTTTTTTTACTTATTTTATCGTTGAAAACAATTTTTTTTTTCAATATTCAATATTTTGTTTCATTATACACAAGTACAGGTATCAAGTATTTGGCGGTTAATGCAAAGCCAACTGTCAAGTACAGATAGCTGTTCTAGTTCTGGTCTTTGAACCTATTGGGGTTTGAGGCTTTATAAAGTCTTTAATGGTTAGTTTTAATTTGGATAACTAACTAGAACAACAATAAATTCCACAACAATTTTAAGCTGGAGTACATAATTTAAAACAGTTCCTAAAACTTAAATATGAATAAACAATAACAGATAATGTATAGAAACAAATTAAAATTATAAATGCAGACTGAACTATTTCACTATCTTAATTTATTTAAGGCAATTTGTTAAGCTTATAATGAAGAATGTGGGCTTTGACATGAATCTTGAACCATAAATGTAAAAATGTTCACGTAACCATCGCCCACGCCATGCCATGCAGATTATTGAGCTGACAGTTTCAACTGTTTTTGAAATAGATTCAAACAAATGTTCCATTTGAATGCAATTTATGGCTAAAGCTGGTGCGACCACACACACTTCCCTTGACTGCTCGACTGCCACATTGCTGCAATTTCTGAAATGTAGAAAATTTTCAACAATTAGCAATTCTAATGCTGGGAAGCAGCAGCAATATCAGGAGCACTCTTCTTGACAGGCGCTTCTAGGGGATGCTTTACTAGCTGGCTAATTGCCACGCCCCACTTCCACGCCCACGCCCCATGCAGCATGCTGTAAAAGTAGCTGCAAACGACCAAATAGATGGTGGACAGTGGACAGCTTGGACAAATGTAGCAGCCAGCCAGCCAGCCAGGCAGCACTTGCCAAAGTCCAAGCAAAGTCGAAGCATAGAAAACGTAGCATACTTTTCAGCGCACACGCAAAAGTATACAAAAATATGTACGATGGCCAACGACGACTTGAAATTCATTATAAATTCAAAATTTATGTTCACAACCCTGGTAGCTGTCAAAGTGACTAGTCGACTTTTTATTGTGCGCTCCGTGAAAAATTGTAATAAATTCCTCTTTTTCAATTATTTCGCGTATAGTGCGTTAAAAAAAAAAAAAAAAAACCACCCGGAAACCTAGTTTCACCTTGGCTTTTTGGCAATCGTTTAGTATCCTTATTTTCTTGGATTCCAATCAACAATTAATCTGCTGTATGGGGCTGCTCTGCTGACGTATACACGTCATCGGAGCAGAGACAGCCCAGAATTTTTCTTCTTTGCTTGTTTTGCAAGTCATCTTATCTCACGTAAATGAATGCTGATGAAGACTCGGCCGCTCTCGGAGCAGCTGAGGAAGTAGTCAATAAGCTGCCGAAGTACGTGGAGATGAGAAAAATTTCTGGTAAATCACCTTCGGAGCTGAGAGCAAAAATAACCAAGGACTTGCATATGTCAATGGGAAAACCATACTTAAAGCCGTCAATCTCAACCAGTAACTGGATTGCCTCAACCACTTGTACATCGACTACAAGTACCCTAACATTTTCTGTGGTGAACTCTCAATCAATGTATACTACAGTAGCGACATCAAATGGCAGTTTGTGCTCCACACCCGCCGTTGTGAGTACACCGGCTTCAATGACAAACTTAGTTGCAAATCCAACTCTGGACAAATTTTGCTCGTTTCAAATGCCAGTACCCGGTATTAATAGGAAGCGGAAAGGAGCCGTCGAGTCACTAAAATCGGCTCAAAAAAATAAGCCAACTCCTGTCAATACAACCCAGGGACAACGAACTGCGTC